TCAGGTCAATGACTGGGTACAATGTCTGTGCGTACAACCTACACAGCCAGATGTGGTGGTCCCGAGGAGAGTACCATGGAGGGTCCCCTTAGACTGTGGTGGTTGTCATGACCCCCCCCCCATCGTTGCCTCTGTAAACCCCTGTTACCGGATGATTTGGTAGCCAGGTCTCTGGGCCAGCCCTTCGGCCAGGAGCCAGGCTCCACAGGCTGTGATCTGATTCTTCTCCAGACTTTTCCAGGGGAGAGCAGACGCAGGAGAAGGAGAGACACGGGCATGAGGCTGGGAAGGGACTCTCTGTGCCCCTTCCCCAGACCAAGGTGTTGGTATAGGGGACTACGGGCTCCCTAGCTACCTTCTCAGAGGACCCCCTGGACAATAGTGGACTCAGGGCAGGTGCAGCAGGGGGACCTCCAAAGCTTAGGACCCAGGGAGAGCCCAGCTGAGTAGGGCATGGAGCTGACCAGGGTTTATCAGTCAAGAAGCTCTTCCCAGGGGCTTTCTATAGGCTATAGGACCCCATCAGCCCTCCTGCCTTGCTGGCCTCCCAGGAAGTGACTGGCGTACTCCATTCTCTTCAGGTGACCCATTCGAGGCAGGACCCGAGCCAGTTCAGCAGCTGCTGCGTCCCCCAGGAGATTCCAGGACAGCCTGCGGGATGGAGGTGCCAACTTGAGTGTCAGGAGAGAAGGGAGGGGTGCAAAGAAGCCACACAGCCCAGGAGCTACATGGCTCTGTCCCCAGTGTGTCAAGGTCAGTCGGGAGTTCAGGACATAAGGCCACCAGAATAACACCGTCATCCAAAGCTCCCCACACGGGCCCTCCTCAAGGCACACGTTTTCTCCCTCCCCTCTAACGTTATTTGCATCACCTTTGTTAGCAGCACCCCAGCACCCCGTGGATGAGGCCATGGAGCCTGGAGCCCCATTTTACCTTTAAATTAAGTCTCCCTACCAACTTTTTGAATTTTAAGACACGAATTTTACTGGGGACATTTTTTCCACTACTGCCAATGGAAAGAAAAAGACTCAAAACAGAACGAGAGCCATGAGGACAAACACACACTGTAAAGAGTATGGACTTATCCCGTCCTGAAGTCATTTACTGTGGCCTGCCCTCTGAGAGAGAGAGAGAGAGACACAAAGAGAAACAGACTGACACAGAGACAGACAGAAAGAGACAGCTAGAAACACAGAGACAGAGAGAAAGACAGACAGAAACAGAGAGAGACAGAGACAGATAGAAACACACAGAGACAGAGAGAGACAGAGACTGAGTCACCAATGTCAGGTGGTAGAAACAGAGCCTTTCTCTTTGGGGTAATGAGAAAGATTAAAACCTAAACAATGCAAATTAACGACTCTTTGTAACTAAATATCACGCTGGGGGAAACGGAGGGTCAGAGAGAGAGGAAACCTTCAGACGGACTGACACCGTGACTGTAGGCGCTCATGCGTGCCTGAGGACGACCAGGCTGGGGCAGGGTTCAGGTCTGCTGCTCATGGGGCTGCGGTGAGTCATGTCTACTCCATGGCACCTCGAAACAAGGTGTCCTCAACTCTGACTCGGACCTGACTCACAGCTGACGGACGCATCATCTGGTTTCTGAGGCCGCAAGTCACAAGGAAGATTTTCCATCTTTCTCTTCCCGAGTCAATGATGGTTCAAATCCCCAAGGAGGTGCCCCCTTTGGGGCCTCAGCACAACTCCCCGCTGACCAGTCCAGCAGAGTCCCCCTCCTTATTATTTCCTACTTTAGAACAGGGAGCTCTGGAGGCCATCGAGTCAGGACCGACTCACAGCTGACCCTCCAGCAGGTTTTCAGGGACAGGAAATCGCATGGGAGGAGACTGCTTATCCTTCACCCATGGAGCAGCGGTGGATTTGAACCATGAGACTTTGGAATTGCAGTGCACTTCTTAGAACTGAGCCACCAGAGCTCCCCAGCAGTAAGAAACTGCATGTCAATCCACAGACGTCTGGCTTGAACACAGCAGCCGCTCTGCAATAGAAGGATGGCCCGGCTCCTCCCAAGTGATTTGATTTACGGCCTCTGCAAAGCTGCTGGGGGGTCAGCTAGGAGCTGGTCCTGGCTCGACGGTACACACCCACACACTTGAGAAAACATAGCATTTCCCCCTCAACCGTGGTCAGGGCTCCCGGCTAGTTCTCCTTTGAAGTAACTCCATGACACCCCAAGCTGTGAGCACCATTCAACTGCCATGAGGGAGCTGGGCACAGTCAGGGGCAGGTTCAGGGCCTGCTCTTCACTACAAAGAGGGATTTCACAAATCAGCGTCAGTCACCAGGTCCACCCCGCGGGCTCCCAGAAGGAAGATCAGAGGGGGAGCGCTCCCACGGACTGTCTGGGTCTGTCTGCTCGCCTCCTGCCCACAGATGATGAGAAAGCAGGCCAGGAAGGGCCGAGTGCTTTGGCGTAATGTTGCTCAAAGCGCAGTTGTCCCAACTTCCTCAGCAGGTCTGGGCAAGGCTGGTTTTACAGAGGCAGCACCAGACCTCAGAGCAGGGGACCAGGCCGACCTCCCAGACACCCCGCTTCCCTGCTCAGCACTCTTCCTACTCACAGGATCTCTTCCAGGGCCGGGCAGAGCATCATGTTGGCAGCAAGAGGTGCGGCGGCCTGGTCGTCTATCTTACACGATGTCAGGCTAGAAACGGAGAGGAGAGTGTCTGAGGCAGGACGCTGCTGGATGCTCCCTGCTTCTCTGAAGGCAGGGCAGGAGAGGCCCAGTTGGCAGATAGAGACAGGAACATGTCCTTTTTGGGCTATGGTCTCCCCTGAGGCCACTGTCACATCAGAAGACTTTTCAGGAAATGTCCAAACCATGAATGAATGAATTGAGAAACTGTGGTACATTCACACAATGGAATATTACACAACATGCAGGAGCAATGATTTAGAAAATAACCTCATCATTTGGGAGGGACTGGAAGTGCATTATGCTAAGTGAACTAACTCAGTCCTATAAGGACAAATACTGCATAAGACCATTATTGTATAAATAGATAACTAGTAAAATGAGTATGAGAATCCAAGGTGGGGAGGGAGGGTAGGGGCAGAGGGGTGAGGATGGGCGGGGTTGGTGGTGGTGGTAATCACAGGGTTGCACAATTTGATGGGCAGAGGGAGGGGTAGGTAAAGGAAATGGGAAAGATCCGGTGTGAAAAACAATATATATGAACTTTGTAAGCCAACCAGTTTAAAATAAAAATTTACTTAAAAAAAAATAAAGACTCTTCAGGTGTCCAGTTTGGTCAGACCAAGGCTGCCTCCACCTGCCCCAGGACCAGGAGGCACTGGGCGTTGGGGGAACTACTTACTCTAGTTGTCTGAGCAGCGGAAGCACCTTAGAGAAGCGTGGGAGCCCCCTGGAAAGGCCATTCTCTGCCAAGCTGCAGGGCCAGGAGACACCCGTTAGGGAAACCCCAGCGCCTTGCCAGCCAGCTTCCTTGTACAGTCTCCCACAGCCCTGCTCACCTGATCTCTTCCACCTGTGGACACCCATCCAAGGCCTGGCCAAGACTCAGTGCCCCCTCTGGGCCCAGGTGGCTGGAAGGCAGGCTGGAGGAAGAGGAGGGGGTGAGAGGAGCTCAGGGGGGTTGGGAAGACCTCTTAGAACCCCTACCCTCAGTCTTGTCTCAGACTTTTCCATCACGCTGTTTAGGTGGTCAAAGGCACGCTGCTGTCTCAAAGCCCTCACCATCTACACAGGATTTATGTGAAGACCCAGGACCCTGGCTTTGGGATCTGAGAGGTCAAGTTCAAAGCTTGGTTCCTTCATGTTAAAACAGGAACTCTCGACCTCTCTTCTGGACTTAGTGCCAATGCCTGGGAGAAGGAACGGGTAGGACGTGGTCCCCGGGAGCTGCAGAGCATGGCTGGGGTCACACAGTTTGGGGGCTCTCCTCCGGCACAGCTCCCCTGATATTTCCTTATTCACCCTCTGAGACTGACCCACGGACTGAGAAAGGATTATTGTGAGGCACTGGAGGGCGGGAGCTTGGCCGATGGCCTCAGAGAAGTCAATGGCAAAGCCCCGAGTGAGTCCCAGCTCCGTGCTCCTTCCCAGCCCCAGCCGTGACCTGGTGGCACACAGGTCAAGTGCACAGTGGGCAGCGGGGACACCCACCACAGAACCTTCAGCTTTTGGGGCAGCCGTTGAGCCAGCACCTGGGCGGTGGGATCCCTCAAGGCGTTTCGTCCTAGCCTGGAAGGAGGGGAGAGTGATGAGGCCTGTGCCCACAGCGGGGAAAGGGCCAGGGGCCCGAAGGGCAGAGGTCAGAGGACAGCACTCTGGAGCCAGCTGACTCACCTGAGCTCCTCCAGGCGCCTGCAGCGACTAAGAGACTCGGCTAGCTGCACGCCTCCGGTCGGGCCTATGCTGTTTGCTGTGAGGCTAAGGGAGAAGCAGACGGCCCCTTGTGGTTCCCCTCTCCCCACATCTACCAAGACAGCTGCCCCAGCTGCAGTGGCCCCAAGAGACAAACCCCACCACACCTGGGAAGCCAGGGTGGACAAGAGACCCAGAGAGCAGCAGGGCTGGGCTGGCTTAGGGTTACCTGGCCCTACAGCCCGAGTGCCAGCCTGAACCAAGGGGACCCAGGCGGGGCCAGCTGGGGCTGAGGCAGGGACTCACTCTAGCTTCCTGAGTTCAGGCAGTTCCGGCAGGAGGATGGCTAAGTTCTGAGCTCCAGCATCTCCAATCTTGTTATGGCTCAAGCTTAGGGAGAGAACAGTAGAAGAATGAGGACCCACCCCACCCCACCCTGCCCAGAAGTGCACCCTAAAAAGAAGCTGTGGGGATACACTGTCTCCTCTAAGGTATGTATTGAACCTTTGAGCCTTTTACTGACATCTGGCTTGGAAACAGCATCTTTTTGTTATGCTAATGCGATGGGAAAGTCTGCAGTTAGGGACCTTTCTAAAGTACTCAAGAGCAATGGTGTCTCTCTGAGGTGCGCCTGATACAGGCCATGGGTCTTTGCAATCACTTGTTATGCATCAGAGAGTTGGACAATGACTAGGGAGGACAGAAGGAGAATTGGTGCCTTTGAGCTGTGGTGCTGGAGGAGAGTATTGAATGTACCCTGGACTGCCAAGAAAACAAACAGATTCTTCCTGGAGAGGGTTAAACCAAGCAACTCCTTGGAGGCAAGGATTCTGGGGCTTCGTCTGACATACTTTGGGCATGTTGCAAGGAGGGACAGGTCCTTGGAGAGGGACATCATGCTTGGGAGGGAGGAGGGACGGCGCAAGAGGGGAAGACCCTCTATGGGGTGGATTGATTCAGTGACTGGGATGGGTGTGTCAGAGGCAGTGCGATTGGCACAGGATAGAGCAGGGTTTAGGGCTGTTGTACATAGGGTCGCTATGAGTTGCAAATGACTCAATGGCACATAACAACAACAACAACAACAATAACAACAACAATGAGGTCATTAGAAGGGGAAGGCAGGGTGAGTTCTGAGTCTAAACAGTCCCTGAATATCAGATGAGACATGGACACACACACACACACACACACACACACACACACACACACACACGAACCCAGGAGAGGAGAGGAGAGACATAAGCTGGCTACATGCCACAGAGCCAAAGAACTGTCAAGAAAGGACTTAACAAAGTTGAGACCCTAATTTAGACCTTCAGCCTCCAGAAAATAAAATTCTATTCTTTAAAGCTACTTCTTTGTGACAGCAACACTAGAAAGAGGGCAGGCTGAGGGGTACAGGAAGGGTTCAACTCACACGGAGGGCCCCCCACCACTCTGCGGGAGTGACTCCCAACTGCTGTCTTTTGTTAAGGGTGTTCTACCTGAGGTCTGACCTAAATCCCTCTTGCTGCTGTCAGTACATCCTGTCTCGAGTGTTTCCAGACCTGGGGTTCAGCGCCGTGTGGGAGCGGAAGGAGGATGAGCCTGAGCGAGAGGCGTGCACTCAGGTGGCCCTGCTTTCTCATCGCCCTCTCCCTCCACCCAAAGTCGTCCTGGACCTGGGGAAGGGACAGACAACTCACCCCAGTTCCTCCAAGCTGGTGGCACCTCTGAGGGCTTCAGAAAGGCGATGGCAGCTGTTGTCACCAATGCCATTCCTGCTCAGACTAGAGAAGAAAAGGCCAGGCCAGGCCGGGCCGTTTGTCCAGGCGCTTGGAGGCCTTTGCAGGGCTGTGCTAAGAATGGGGCAGCTTGCAAAGCCTTTTCACATTCAAGGATTCATGTGCCTGAGTTCTTTGGACAGCGTCGGGGTTAAGAATGGTGCACTGGGAGGGAATGGCTGCTCCCCATGTCCAGATGGAAAAAATGAGGCCCAAAGAGGAGACTGGACTGACCAGAGATCTACAGAAATTTAAGGCAAAGCAGAGCCAGGAGCCCAGAGTCCCTGGTCAATCCATCCAAGATTAAGGACAGTCTCTCTATTTTTTTGCCTTTGCCAAGCTTTGACTTAGCCCCCTGTGTTGAGGAGCACAGTCTGAAGAAACACCAACATTCAAACGCCACAACTCAGGCAGGTCTCTTAATCAGCGCCCACAGTGTTCTGACCTGTGTACACGGCGGGCTTTCCCTTAAACCCAGTTCAGGGTCTTCACTGTGCCCTGCCCTTGCCCTGCCTCTGCGAGCGGGGCAAAAACAAAGGAAAACAAAACAAGAGGCAAACTGCAGTAGGCTCATATTACAGTATTTGTCTGAAGGTTGGTTGTTCTTGCAAATAAAATTTTGAACTGCCTTCCAGAAAACACATTTTAAGGAAAATGTCTGAATGATGTGGTGTCCCCAGCCATTCCGTTTCAGAACTTATTCTCTATTTACTCCGCTCAGCCAGAGTGGGGTTGTGGTTTAGAGGAAAGTAAAACATTGCTTTGTGTTATCATTTGAATTCGCTTTTGTTAGGCTATTTTCATATTTGGAAAGCTCGTGTTAATAAGACGGTACAATATTTGTGTATCAAAATGGGCAGTGGGTGAAAAATCACAAAGCCTGAAAGTCAACACTCAGATCTGATGTGAACTGTGGCTCCTGGGGTTCCTATCACCTGGGAACTGGGTAGAAAGAAATGCAGAATCCAGGCAAACAGACCTGCAGAACCAGAATTAGCATTTGATGCGTTTGCACATAAAGGCTTGAACAAGAGTTATTCGAGGACTCAACTTTTTTAGAACTATTTTGATAGTGAAGAGAAGCAGCATTAAAAGGCAGGAGCAGTGGGCACTGACCCGAGGGGACCCAGAGACACCCCAGGGAGCACAGAGTCCTGATGCTTCTCTGGGCCGAGGTCCTAGGACAGTCGGAAAGGGTGCCCTCCACTCATCACCCCGGGGTTCCTCGGTCACTCACGTGAGGCTCTGCAGGAGAGCTGTGTGCCTCAGTCCTTGGGAGAGCAGGTCCAGGGCCTGGGGACTCAGTGGAAGGTGTGTGAGGCTGGAAGACAGGAGGTCAGGTGAGGACCTGGAACAGCTGGGATCAGGTCCCAGGGGCATAGAGAGGCCCTGTGAAGTCCAGGGGTTTGTAGTCTCATGGTAAGCAATGCTTAGCTCCTCCAAGACAGCTACTGAAATCCATATAATGTAAAATTTGTCAAAATGACGTCTCTCTGAATAAATACCTTTTTAACTGTTTTTTTTTCTTTTAAAAATTGTGATTTTAGTGAGAGTTTACAAAAAGGTTAGGGTTTCATCCATTCATTGATACATATTTCCTTCCCTCCTCCTTTCTTTCCCTTTCTCCAAACTCACTTTGTAGCACACTTTTTATTCCAGATTGTTAACTGTCATACCTATAATGTCTAATCATACATTCCTTTCAGACGGTCCTTTTTTCTTCATCGATGCTAGAGCAGTGTTCATAATCTATTCACTCTTTTTCTGTTCTCCTCCCTCCCCTGCCTCAGGTCAGTCTTATTTTATACAGTGGTGTTATGCAGTATTTGTCCTCTTGTGATGGAGATATTTCACTGAGCATAATGTCTTCCAGAGTCATCCATGCTGTGTAGTTTCTTGCAAGTTAATTATTTTTCAGTGCTGCATAATATTCCACCATGCAAATGTACCACTATTTTTTTTTTAACCATTTGTTGATGTGCGCTTAGGCTGCTTCCATCTTTTTGCTATTGTGAATAGTGCGGCAATAAACACGAGAGTGCTCCCTACATAAATAATTAGGATAACAGGCAGCAGTTCTATGTTCTGAATCACAGTTGGACCCAGACAAATTATCAGTGATAATAACAACCTCCAGGGTTGCTATCAATTGGGAACTGGGCAGAAATGCAGGATCTATTGTTAAGTGCCATCGAGTCACTTGCAACTCATAGTGACCCTATGTACAACAGCTCTGAACCCTGCTCAATCCTGTGCCAACCTCATTGTTTCCAACACACCCACCCCCATTACCCCAGTCACTTAGTCAATCCAGGGTCTTCCCCTTCTATGCTATTCTTCCCCCTCCAAGCATGATGTCCCTCTCCAAAGACTGGTCCTTCCTTGCAACATTTCCAAAGTATGACAGACAGAGCTTCAGAATCTTTGCCTCCAAAGAGCATTCTGGTTTCACCCTCTCCAGAAAGAACCTGTTTGTTCTCCTAGCTGTCCATGGTATATTCAATACTCTTCTACAGTACTGCAACTCAAAGGCATTGATTCTCCTTCTATCATCCCTAGTCATTGTCCAGTTTTCTGATGCAAAGACCGTGGCCTGAGTCAGGCACACCTTAGTCTCTAGGCTGACATTGTTGCTCTTCAGTACTCTGGAGAGGTCCCTGACAGCCTATTTTCCCAATGCAATTCATCTTTTGATTTCCTGGCTGCTGGTACCAAGAGTATTGATTGTGGAACCAAACCAGCTGAAGCTGTTAATAATCTCTTCACCATCTATCATGATGCTGCCAATCAGCCCAGTGGTGAGAATTTTTGTTTTCTTGATGTTGAATTTCAATTCATATTGAAGGCTGCGGTCCTTGACCTTCTGTAGCAAATGGCTCAGGTCCTCGTCAGTTTTCGCAAGCAAGGTTGTGTCACTTGCATAAATCAGTTTAGAATAGAGCCTTCACGTAGTTAAGTTTATTTACAAACATAAGCAGAATGATGTGTGTTCAACAGAGTTTGGGCCATTCTTCAGAGGCTGGACTTCTTAAAATGCTCCTCTTCTGATCTGTTTCGTAGATGAACTGAAACATCCTTATTTCAGCAAATCCAGACCCATAGTACACAGTCATCATAATTAGCAACTGCCACTTGATTCCACCAAAAAAGGCAAATTCTTCTCTGGGAGCTCCTCATCGTGGCTTCTCTGGACCACAGAGGTGGTAAACCTTCGGATGTTCTGCCCCAACATGGTGCTGTTGGGGGCTCTGTGAATGTCACAGCAATGAAGGGCAGAAGAAACGCTGGACCAGCCCTTCTCAATAACACCCAAAGAAACTAAGGTAAAAGCTTACCATCTAAGAAGCATTCTGACTACGTTTCTTTCAAGATAGATTTGTTCATTTTGGGGATGCTGTTGTTATGTGCCATCCAGCTGAGTACAGCTTATGCACAACAGCTCTGAACCCTGCTCTATCCTGAGCCAATCTCATCATCTCTGACTTCCCCATCCCCATTACCCCAGTGACTAGTTCAGCCCATCTCATCCAGGGTCTTCCTCTCCAGTGCTGACCCTCCATTCTTTCAAGCCTTATATCCTTCTCCAAGGACTGGTCGCTCCTGGCAACATGCTCAAAATATGTTAGATGAAGTTTCAAAATCCTTGCCTTCAAGGAGGAGCCTGATTTCACCCTCCCCAGGCTCACGAGGGTCCGTCCTAGCCTTTGGCAGTCTGTGTTGACAAGAGGTGCAAGTTCCTAGGCTCCCACCCTACTCTCCCAAGGCCCCTTTACCAACACTACCACCACTTACTCCAGCTTCTTCAGCTTGCATTTCCCCACGAGGATCCCCACCAGCTCCTTGGTACCCTCTTCATCAAACTGATTGTTAGACAAGCTGGAGGGAATTGAACACAAGGAAAGGGTTTGAGGTGCCAAGCCAGCTTCCCATCAGTACCCCTGACACGCTCAGGGACTGAAGATCTTGGAACAGCCCTCCGATCCAGGCTCCATGGGGACATTCCTAGTAGCTCCAAGGGTCAAGCTCTGGGTGCCCAAGGGAGCAGGGACAAAGCATTCAGGAGACCAGATCCTTGGATTCGGGAACTGGAGACAAGAACAACATGCCTGCAGGCACATAATGATTCTCCCAGCCCTTAGCCCTCTCTGTGCCTCAGCCCCACAGGGACCCCAGGCCAAGCAAGGCTTATGAGCTCCATGTTACACATGAGGGGATCAAAGCGTAAAGAAGTCGCTCTGGCCAGAGTCATTCAGAGCATACAGGGCTTGACCACCCCTCTTCTCCAGGCCACACCTCAATTTTTTGGACTTCAGCAGCAGGCAAAGTGAGAGGCTGCAGTCCCACTGTGCACCTCACCAACCGTCCCCTCCGGCTGGCCGGGACCACCCCTCCCTTGGCCACTCAACCCTGTGAACTCACTCCAACTCCTCAAGGTGGTGACAGCTGCTTAGGCCAGATGCCAGGTGATGGAGGCTCTCAATGTTCACACGACTGAAGGTCAGCCTGGGGGACAAGGGACAACATTCAGGCAGCAGCTCTACATGCTGACAGCAGGGGGCAGGGAAACAGGGGAGGGAGCATGGTCTGGGGAGACCTGGGCAGGGCTCTTCTTCCCCTTAATCAATCTTCTTCCCCCATCAATCTCTGTCGTGGAATCATTAGTCCAAGGTGTGGTCTAGAAGCAGGAGCATCAGAGTTTACTCTTTCCCTAAACCACACCCATTCAGGTAGGTAGAACTTTCACAATTTATGCCATAGTTAAGAATGAGGGTATTGTCATTTAACTTTTTTAAAAAATTTTATTATTTTTTGTGCATGTACCGTCAAATCAGATCTGACTGGTACAGGAGGAAATTGTCCCTCCTTCTCCGGCAGAGCATCTGGTGGATTTAAATCGTGTACCTTTGGGATTGCAGTACAGCTTGTCATTTAACTTTTTATAGAATGAAGGGAACTTAAAATAAATTACAATGGAAACGAAATCTTTCCAAAGTCTAGTGAGTTGCTGCTGCTTGCCACGAGATCTGTATCTTTATTTTTTTAAAAATAGCAACATAGAAAGCATTTGAGAGGAATTAAAGAGGGGGTTGGCACCAAAAGGAGACTGCCTTCTTCTTCTTCTTTTTAAAGAGGACACTGTTCTTGATGGAAATCAGATGAATTGAAAGAGAATAGGAAGTTAGAAAAGCCCCATTTTGAAACATCCTTCAGATAACTGACTCCGGCAAGAATTATCAATAGATGTTAAAATTTCTAGGTGAACATTTAAGTATGCTGACATAGGCCTCAAAGTTTAAAAGTATCTCTCTACAGGAGATTTATTAATTAACAAGAGAAAATAGCCATTTAACAAAGGAAGTAGCCTGGCTGATGTGCCCTTGCTAAAGTGACTGCAGATCATGTCACTGGTAGTGGCACAGATGGGGAGTACTGGTAATCTAGTGGCAAGAAACTCCGCTGCAATCCCAAAGGCCTGCGGTTTGAATCCACCAGCTGCTCCGTGGGAGAAGGATGGAGAATCTCCTCCCATGGGATTAACTGCCTCTGAAAACCCGCTGGAGGGTCAGGCTATGGGTCAGTTCTGACTCAATGGTACACAACAACAACAACAATGGGACAGACAGACATCATGCACCTTATGATCTGAAGCACCAAGAGAAAACAGTAATAATATTCTGTTACAAATGCAGATCCTAGATCTAACTCGAGCTGAAGGACAGTCTACAGAATAGTTTATGCCTGCCCATGTCAATGTCATGAGGGGCGGGAAAACAGCCGAGGCGTGGTTCTGGATTGGAGGAGATCAAAAAAGACAGGATGACTGAACACAGTGTGGAATCTGGGATTAGAAAATGCTACGCAATAAATCACGTCATTAGGATAATTGGCAAAAGTGGAATATGAACTGTAGCTTAGACAACAGAAGTGCATCAGTGTCAACTTTCCTGAATTTGACACTTTCTCTAGATTAAGGAAGAGAATGCCCTGATGCTTAGGAAATCTATTGAACTATCAGGGAGTAGAGTAGAGGAGCTCCTTTGTGTAACACTTTGGACTGCTAACCAAAAAGTCTGTAGTTTTTCAGCTGCTCTGGAAGAAACCAAGCTGTCTCCTCTCATGAAGATTTGCAGCGTTGGGCACATGACAGAGGGCACCATCATTAGAACTGATTCACTGACAGTGGGTAGACGGGATGCCATCAAGGAGTAAGGGCAGGGTGTGTGCAATTTACTGTGAAATGATTTACAAATAGAAAAAAAAAGATTGAGAGGAGCTAGAGAAGGAGGGAGGGAAGGAAGTAGAGAAGAGAGAGGAGGGAGGGATGATAAAATAGTGAAAAGATATTGACAAGGAAGAATTTGGGTGAAGAATAAGTAGTTGGCACATGGACATCCTTCCTACCCTTCTTGTATCCTTCCTTTCCACTTACAATTATTCCAGAAGAGTAAAGGTATACACAACAAGGGGCCAAAGTGGAAGTGTATTGTAAAGAAAAAACTTTCTTGCTGTGTGACTCAACGTTTCTAAGGCTCAGTGTAATTAAGGCTATGGTCAGCCTGCAGGATTCCTCTGTGACCAGCCTCAGAAATCCCCCGAGCCCAGGGTTAGGGAACAACGACAGGGGTCACAGGGACAGGGCAGAAGTGCAAGCAAGCACGCGTCCTGTGTGCTTACCAGAACTTCTTCAGCTCCGACAGGGACAGCAGGAGGTGCTGGAGCAGCTGGGAGCTGGCGCTGCAGAGGTTAACCTGGGACAAGCTGGAAGAGCCCAAGCATATTCCAGAGGGATGCTCAAGCGCTTCCACACAGGTGGGGAGACCACACAGAGCTCTTAGTGGGGCTCCCTACTCCCCCTGGCAATCTCCCCAGACTGCCCTGCACGAGGAAGGAGGAATTCAAGTCACGTGCTGTGCCCGCTGTCTCCCCACCAGCAGACACTGCGACAGTGGCCCGGGGGTGCTGACCTGAGCTTTCGCAGCCTGGCACACGTCTTCATCAGCTTTGTGACAAGAAGGTTTTGGTGTGTCCCAATGTCACAGTGAGCCAGCCTGGAGCCAACAGGAGGTGGCAGTTCTGAATTTCAGAGACTCGGATTCTGCCCACCAGGAGCTTGTCATGTGGTGGTGCACACAGGTGAATAAAAACCCCCCACCCGATTCATTCTTCAATTATGAGAATGCGATGGAGGAGGACCCTTGCTCCCACCACGCCTGTGGGCTTCCAAGTGCGGGTCTCACCTGAAGGCCACAGCTTCTGGGTTCTCCTCCAGACAAGGAAATTCCAGCTGGACACAGAGCTTCTGCTGGGTCTCTGAGATGCTAGAGAAGGATGAACGAGGAGAGGCCCACAGCAGCTCAGCTGGAAGGCTGGGTGGGGCTGACTCTGCCTGGGCTCTGACCCTGAGCTCCTAGAACAACAGACAGGGCCCCCTCCTCCCCTTCTCCTGAGTCAGGGAGAAAGGAGTCGCTCCCTTGGGTCACAAACACCACGAGTGGTGCCTTTTCAACCATTCTAAGTTAGTACATGAGCGAGGTTTACCAGGGGAAGTTCCAGCATTTTTACTAAAAGAGTCAAGCCTGGAAAGGGTGTATTTGCATGTTCAGCTCATGGCTTTTATTTGAATAATAATGAATTAAGAATTATGACTTGCATAATATTTACAGGTAAGGGTAGTGTTTGGGGAAAGGGCTGAAGGAGATGCTGGGTGTTAACTGAAGTCCTCCAAGCTATTTCTCAGTCACTCTTGGAAGAATGCAGATGGAACCAGGAGGCAGGCTGTTGGCCCAATGACAGCACATCAGAGGCTGTCAATCAATTCAGAGCAAGTCTCACTCAGTGTCCAAGCAGGGGAAATCGTTCCCCTTTTCACAGATCAGGAGGTTAGAGTTAGAAACGCTCAGTAAATGGCGCAGGCCGTTCAGATCATCTGAATCAGAAAATAGGTCAATGAGATGCCAAAGCCTTTGTTCTGAGCCACTCAATGACCTCTGTTACCACTGGTTACAGGCCAAGGCAGGGTTGGTGGAGGCAGGGGCCATGCCCAGGGCTGACAGCATGGGATCTCCAAGGTGTTCTCCCGGGATATGGTAACACTTGATGGGAATCTCAGACAGCACTCCATTCCCTGACAGCACTCTGTTCCCTGACACTTCACCTGACTGCTGCATAAAGTCCAACAAGCAGGTGCCACCCGCTCCCGTGTATCCCGGAAGCTGCCACCCCACATGTCATGTCTAGATGAGGGGAGGACCCAGGGCCATGAGACGATGACCAACTCACCTTATTTCAGTGATGTTGCCTGAGGTCTGGGCACTGGTTGTTAGCAGTGTGAGCACCCCAACTCTGTCCACCCATGGCTCCTCTACCCTGTCACAAAGCAAAGACAGGGTCTCTCTTGGGGGGGGTGCATCTCAACAGTGGGGAGAGCATGGTGAGGGAGCAAGGAGGAAGCCACGGGGAATTCTTTTTGTAGTTAGTGCCATCACATTAACTCCAACTCCTAGCGATACTATGCACCACAAAGCGAATAAAATACATCTGATCCTGCACCATCTTCATCGTCTTTCATGTGCTGACTCCGTTGTTTTTCATTGATTTTAAAGTGACAAAAGTACACAACCAGGCATAAGCACAAAACAGAAAATTAACAGCATCTTAATTCAAAATCCTCGCTTTCAGCAAGCAAGTTGGTATCATCTGCACAACACAGATTATTGAGGAATCGCCCTCCGATCTTGATGCCACATTCCTCTTCATACAGTCCAGCTTCTCAAATAATTTGCTCAACATATAGATTGAATAGGTATGGAGAGAGAATACAACCCTGACACACCCTCTTCTTCATTTAAAACCATGCAGTGGTCCCTTGATCTGTTCACACAACAGCCTCCTAGTCCAGGTATAGGTTTTGCATGAGAACAATTAAATGCAACAACAACAATCCAAAGACAATTTTCAAAATGGTATTTTTAGACTTATGAAAAAGTCCATGCAGTATTATATTACAAGATTAAGCAGACAAAACACATAAAACAGCCTAATTCTTTTTAACCAAAAGGCAAAAATACCTACCTAGAGAAAAGAAGAAACAGAGAGAGCTGAGAGAAACATACTAAATGGAATGGTGGTTATTTCAGTCTTGGAATTCTCAGGAGTGACTTTTATGTTATTGTCAGGTTAGGTTAGGTTAGTGGACTTAAAGAAGAAATCAGAGAGAACGAGAGAAAGCTTAATGCAGCTTTATTAAAGGGGTGAAGGGGAGCTCCTGGGTGAGTTTCTCATCCTGGAGAGGCAGGACGGGAAGTCACACTGTGAACTTACTGGGGAGGATTTTTATAAACAGAGTCTTTAGGGAGGGACAGTCCACTCTGATTTATGAGCCACCTGCTAGCTCAGCCAGACAGGCAAGGCTGTTTGCCCTCTTTATCTGCAGCAGGCAAGGCCATCAGCATTTGAGTTTTGAATTCTTCATTCCTCTCTTTGGCCCTCTTTGCCCAGACTAACAGTTATCTCTTGAATTTTCTATATTTCCTACATGCTCTACAATGTGTGTGTATTCATGTATCAGCGGGGCAAAGAGTCTCTAGAAATCTTCCTGCTTTCAAAGCTACACTTTTTTTAAAAGCATTAATTTCTTCTTTTTGAGAGACCTTAAAGGAACTACCACAACAGGCTTGAGCTGGACACAGATCATGAGGCCGGCACAGGATAAGGGGAAGGTTCAGATCTGTCCGTCACAGAGACGCTGTGAGTCCTAGTGGACTCGATGGCACCTAACAAGAACAGTATCTTCTTCTTCAGCGCTTTTGAATGCTCCACAAATCTCTATGAGGATTTTTTTCCTTTAGGTTATTTATTTTTCATTTCAATGAACATCTACAGAGATTTTGGGATTCCATTCATTCATTGTTGCACCCTTCTCCCCGCACAAACCCCTCCCCCCCCCTTTGCTCCTCTCCTTGAAAAGCAAAAGAAAAACTCCCTCATTGGTACACAATCCCCGCCCCCCCGCACCTCCCTCTGCAACCCTCATTGCATACTCCTACGATAAAAATAATGCCCTAAAATATAATACTTTTAGACTATTCTCTCCCCCATAGACTTCAATGCTGTAAACATATTTCATCCAGTTTTCTCAGTCTTACCCCCACCCCAATGCCAGCCTCATTCTACAACAGTGGCACCATATAGCATTTGTCCCTTTGTGACTGAGATACCTCACTCAGCATAATGTCCTCCAGGGTCACCCATTTTGAAGAATATTGCATGAGTTCCTTGTTTTAAGAGTGAGAAAGGTTTTATTTTAAGAAGATTTATTGAGGAAGAGCCTGCTTTGCTGGTGGAGTGCATTTTGCGTGTGTGGTGCCCTTTAAGGGCTGGAAGACATTGACCTGCCCATCACTCGGTGGTGGGGAAACAATGAGACCATCTCCTCTGGCTGAGATTTACAGCCACAGAAAACCAGTGGGGGATCAACATGAGTAGGACTCTACTTGACAACAGTGGGCTTGTTGTTTTTGGGAGCATCCAGATTGAAGGAGGTCTGGTGAATTAGTGGTAAGTAGTTGCATTGCCAACCCAAAGGTACGTGGTTCAAATCTACCACCTGCTCCATGGGAAAAAGATAGAGGCAGGAAATGACCTCTGAAAACCTGCTGGAGAGTCAGGTATGGGTTGGTTAGGGCTAAATGGTTCACAATGACAACAACAACAACATTCACGAACTATAGCAAGGAATGAGATTTCTTGCCACTCAGAGGTAAATGGAATCACATGGAGCCTTCTGCGTCACTTCCAATTTACAAGAAAGTGGGATTTTACAGGAACAAGTTCTATGATGACAAGGAGGTCCTGATTCCAGGGGGAGGGACAGCACACAGAAACCCACACCATCACAAAAGAGGGAAAGGGGGACACACAAATGTCTCCTGCCCCAACAAGCCAGTGGTCACCTTTGAGGGCAAATGCAGAATTTCACTTTGCACTTAGTACTATACATCATTAAGAAAGATATCACTACGTGGGCTTCACTGCCTTTCGCTGTCTCTCTCAAGCCTAAGACAGCAAACCCACCCAGGAGCTGTTAATAAATTCCTTTGTCTCACTTAAAAAAAATCACTATGTAGAGTTCAATGGTGATTAATTTTATAAAACATAATGAATGGGCAGGATTATATGAAACACAATGTGAATGAAGGATAGTGTGAAAAACAACGTATACGAATGTAAGCAAATCAGTACAAAAGAAAATGAATTTAAAAAAAATCACTATGTAGAAAGTGTCTCTATTTTTCAGAGTTTTATGTTGAGATATTTAAGAATCCAATATCATATTTTGGACATGTTGCAAGGCAGGACCCATCCTTGGAGGGGGATGTCATGCTTGGGAGGGTGGAGGGACAGTGCAGGAGAGGAAGACCCTCGATGAGATGGATGGATTCAGTGACTGGGATAATGGGAGTAGGTGTGTCAGAGACAGTAAGATTGGCGCAGGATAGAGCAGGGGTTTACCTAACAACAACAACAACAAACAACATACCATATTGTCTGTAACTTATTTCAAAATACAGCTGCCAAAAACATGAAGCAAAAAAAATGTTAAATCTAGACAATGGGGAGCTGAGTTGGGTTTTTGTTTTGTTTTAAAATTATTCCTTCCCTTTCCTTTTAGGTAGCTTTTCTGAAAAATGGCACTTTTCTGAATGTTTGAAGATTTTCATAATGAATAAACATGACCACAATATTTCTGTTCTTGGCAGAGTATTTCAAAAGTCCCTCTCCCCCATAGGTCCTACATTGCAGGCCCTGCCCCAGGAAGGGACAGAAGGACAGGGGCAGGAGACTGGACATGGAGTGGACCCTACGCCACTGCCCACTCCTGCCCCCCTCCCCACCCATGCACACCAGCCCTGGAGCAGGGAGCAAGATGCAGATACCTGAGGTCAAGCCGCCCTGCTGGCCGCCTCAACAGGCTCAGGAGGATGGTCAGCTGCTCCAGGTCCAGGCCACACCGAGTCAGTCTGGAGACAGAGGTTGATTACTGGGGTGGTTCTGGCAGAGTACCTCACTCCTCAGTCACTCCCTGGTCACTCACATGAGCTCCGTCAGCTGCAGGGCCTGGCTTACACCAGTGGCCAGTCTGAGTATATGCTCTGGACTGAAGGTGCACTCACTCAGCCTGAGGGAACAGGACAAGGGGCGAGCTGGTGAGTCCTAGAGGCCACAGCTCCAACTTCCTCCAAGTCCCCCAAGCCTGCAGGGGAACCCTGCTAAGTGCACAGGTCTGGGAGGTGTTTCCTGCCTCTTGGGGAGACCATACCCCCTTGAGGTGTGAGGAGTAGGTTATTTAGAGGACTTGGTCATGCAGTCATGTGGTCTTGTGCCAACTCTGTGCTGGCCATTGAGTGCCTTACATGCAGCACCACTCATGGGGGACACTGAAGCCACACAGCAGTAAGAAGGGAGGGTGGGGTCTAGCTTCAATCTGAGTCAGCTGGACACTAGCCACCAAAACTTTACCCACCACCTACTGTGCCTTTTTATCAGAGGGTGTCTTGAGAGGCAGGGAGGGTCTTCTCTAGATACCCCTAGACTGTAGTCTCAAAGCAGCTGAAAAGGGGACCCAGCCAAACACCATGGGGAGAGTCACTGTGACAGGGCAGGGGGCTGTCTGAGGCTCAGGGACAACTGACATTTGAGCTGGGTATTAAAGGGCTGGTAGAATTTGATCCCATGAAAGGAATGGAATCCCAGGCTGAATGGGAGACGATAACACAGGCAGGGAAGTCAGACAATGCGGGGTGTTGTCAATGAACACACAGTGAAAATCCTTAAAGGTTGGGGTGTGTGTGTGTGTGTGTGTGAAGAGTCCAGAAGAGCACGTTAAAGGGTTTTGAAGAGTTTGCATTTTGTCCTGAGGGCAAGAGGGGGAGTGTGTGTCTGTGTGTGTGTGTGTGTGAGTGAGGGGCTGTGTGTGCCTATAATTAGATGTGCGTGTGTGCTGGGATTCTTCTGGCTGCTGGGGTGAGGACTCACGGCTGGCTGGCCAGAGGTAGGGGACCAGTTAAGAGGCTATGACCACAGCTAAAGAAAGACATGTAGAGAGGAGCTGACCCAACAAAGCGGCCAGGAAGCTGAGAGAGAGGGATAAAGGGTTGCTGAGGTGGGAGTGATGGTGATAGGTGTAGCAATAACAGACACAGCACACAAACAAACTACGCATATGATAAACACTACGTTAATTCCCACTGAGGTTGTTGCAGTTTGGTGCTTGTCAAGGGGACTAGGACTCAGGTGACCGTCTACCACAGCCCAAGTCCCTGCCTGATTCTGCACCATCCTCCCAATCAGTTTCTGCTATGCTTAAGCCTCTTGTTGTAGTCAGGCTACAATTCGGCTGACTGCCTCCTTTTCCACGCACAACGTCCTTCTCCAGGCACTGGCGTCTCTTGACAACATGCCCCAAATACACGAGATAATCCTATTACCTGTTACTTTCATATTACAAATAAGGAACTGACAGATACAGATGTGTCCCAAGTCACACAGTGGGTATGTGGTGGAATCTGTACCATAAATCTCCACTCAATGCTCAGAAGCTCCAGAATTTAAGTCGGGACATGGTTACAGGAATGCTGTGGAGGTGAGGGGCATGGGGCATGGAGGGATGTGAGGTGAGGGGCACAGGGTGCATGGAGGGTTGTGGGGTGAGGGGCATGGGGGGCACAGAGGGCTGTGGGGTAAGAGGCACGGGGGGCACAGAAGGCTGTGGGGTGAGGAACAAGGTGGGGCTGTGGGGTGAGGGGCACAGGGAACACAGAGGGCTGTGGGGTGAGGGGCATGGAGGGCTGTGGGGTGAGAGGCATAAGGGGCATGGAAGGCTGTGGGGTGAGGGGCATGGAGGGCTGTGGGGTGAGGGGCACGGGGGGCATGGAGGGCAGTTCTGGGAGACTACAGCCCAGGCAGTGAGGGAGAGGGAAGGGTCTAAAGGAGGAGAAGGTGACAAAGAAACTGCCATGGAGATAGCTACAGGGATGCTCCCCATTTCTCTCCCATCCGCATTCCCCCAGGAATTACCACAGTGTCTTCTCAGCCTCCTCGCTCCTGGAGAAGTGAATCCAAAAGCTCTGCTTGGAGTTCAAGCTGCAGAGAGAGGGGTGTGGGGTGCCCCACGGGCCAGATCAGCCAGTGTCCTAAGGAACCAGAAGCCAATGGGGGTGCAGAAGAAGAAGAGGCACAGGACCCCCAGAAACAAGAAAGGAAGAGAAGGCCCTTGCCAATCAGAAGAGATGCTCCTCTCATCCCATGAGGATGTACAAACCTGGCCTGCCTCATCCCACAACCTCCGTCCTCCAAGCACCCCAGGTACCAGGAATGCTTGGAAATTAGAACCCCTCATTCATGAACCCTGAGGCTGGGACTGCCTCAAGTCACACAGGCAGAAGCACTCAGTATGTGAAGCTTGCTTCCTCCCCTGATCCCTGCAAGCACTACCGTCTTACTTCACTGAGGCCTCTCGGATACGTGGGCAGGCAGGAAGGGCCTCCACCAGGTACAGGACACCTTCCAGAGAGATGCTGTTGTGGCTCAGACTTGGGGGGATAAAAAAAGAGGCTCAGGACTCAGGGTGGAGGGGGTACCTAGGGGAGCCCTGTCCAGCACCTCCCACCTCCAGCTTTCAGATCCGAGGAGACAGGCCACACTGTCCTGCAGACTGCGACACTGAAAGCCAGAGAGAGGCTCTGAGTGTCCCTGTCCCATGTGGCAGCTCGGGTGTCAGGCTGCGATCTGGGGTGAGGCTCACACTGTGGTTGGGGTAGGGCCCTGGCAGCTCCATCTCCACAATGGTCAGAGGCTCCCGGAGTTCAGTTGTCTAGCAACTCAGGTTGTATCCTTGCTCAGGCGAGAGTGGGGCGGACATCCTAGGGACTTTGTCTACTATGAGCCCTGTAGATTGGGTCAGATTGGGGTGGGAAGAACCAGGAGCCGGGGTGGGCTGAACCCTGGTCTAGAGTTTGGGAGGACGAACTGTCCATTCCAGCATTGAGTTTGACTGGGGGTGGCTATCGGTAGGGCCAGGTCCGCTGTATGACGATACGCAGCCCCTCTTAAGTGTCTAGTGGGGGTTCTGCTGATGGTGGGCATGAAGGAAGGAGGGAAAGACCCACGTAAGTAAAGCTATGATCAGAAACACCCTTTCCCCTCTGGGATCCCTGTTTTCTGGGATTTTCTAGGAATTCTCTCAAAAGAGGCCTATTAATGATGCTCTTGGCCCAGGGAAGTTTTTCTTCCTTTGCTGCCTTTGAGGTTATGGCTCACTTACTGAAGCGAACCAGAGACGGACACCTGAGGCAGTAATTCCAGGAGACTCCTGAGACCATCATCACCCAGCAGGTTTGCCGAGAGGCTGTAAGAGGCAAAGACAGGCTGGTTAGTGGTCAGACGTGTCTCCTTCCCCTCTGTCCACTCAGTGGTGCCGTCGCCACTGGGTCTCCCATCACTGTGACTCAGCTCACACTGCACCATCAGCACCACTTTACCGTCATCACCACCATCAAGTCAACATCACCATTAGCAGCGGTGACACCATGCCTAACACCACCACCATCATGTTCACCACCAGTCTGAGGCCGCCACGACCACCCTCACCATTCTTGTGCCACTGCTAGAATTATCACCTCCTCTCATTCACCATTCCCGTGCCCCCTCACCAGAACCACAGTAAACTGGGTCTCATCTGCCCTCTCACCGGCTGGGGACCACTCCCAGGGCCCCTGTGCAAGGCTTTCAGGAGTTAGAGAAACACTAGCTAGTTTGGACATGACCCTGAGCCTGGATCTACCAAGCCACGATTTTTGGACAAGAACAAATTCAAGAAAAAGGCAAACGTGTGGAGGATTCATTTAACAAACTGTTTCCTCCTTTTCATTTTTGAATGCCGTACAAGTCGAACCGGAAATTTCTTCCCTTCTCTTCTTGTAATGTTCTGTGGGTTTGAATACAGCTTCAGAGACAAATAATTAGTCTACCTAGGAAAATCTAATTTTTTTGTCCGAGGGTTAAAGCAGGCTACTCCTTGGAGGCAAAGATTCTGGGGCTTTGTCTGACATACTTTGGGCATGTTGCAAGGAGAGACAGGTCTTTGGAGAGGGACATCATGCTGGGTAGAGTAGAGGGACAGCGTAGGAGGGAAGACCCTCTATGAGGTGGATTGATTCAGTGACTGGGGTAATCGGGATGGGTGTGTCAGAGGCAGTGCGACTGGCACAGGATAGAGCAGGGTTTAGGGCTGTTGTACATAGGGTCGCAAGTGACTCGACGGCACATAACAACAACAACAACAACAACAATTTTGAACTCATTTTGCCCCTAATTATGGAAAATTGAAGCTTGTTGCATTTCACATTATTTTAGGGTCACCATTGGATGGCTCAGACGAACCAATCGTGTATTTTTAGGAGCTGAACATAGACCTTCTTTGCTTACAGAAAAATGTGAATATCCAAATAGAGATACACACCTTTACCCAGGCCTAAACTCCTTGTCATGGCCACGCCATGCATGCTAGAGTAGGACGATAGTAGGGCTGTAATCTTTCAGATGAAGAGAACCTGGATTTTGTTTCACTGTGCCTTTGAGTGGATTCAAACTGACAAAGTTTTAGTAACCAAGTGCAGACTCTTTGTCCCATCCAGGGATATACATAAACATCACAATAGACAACGGCTCACTGCAGACAAGCCTGTGGTCTTGTAAGATTATAACAGAGTTCTGGGGAGCTCTGGTGGCCTAGTGGCAAGAAGCTGTACTGCAATCCCAGAGGTGCACAGTTCGAATCCACCAGATGCTCTGCCGGAGAAAGAGGGACAATCTCTTCCTGTACCAGTCAGATCTGATTTGACGGTACACACACATAAAATAATAAAAGATTAAACAGAGTTCAGAAGTCTCAATTGGAGAGTGAGACATAGTAAAAGCTATGTTCCCAATAACTAGTAAAATGTGTATGAAGAGCCAAGGTGGGGAGGATAGGAGCAGAGAGGTGAGGACGGGCAACTGGGGGGCGGTAATCACAGGGCTCACAATTTGATGGGTGGAGGGAGGGGTCTGTAAAGGAAAAAGGAAAGATCCAGTGTGAAAACCAATGTTTCTGAACTTTGTAAGTAAACCAGAATAAAACAAACAAAATTTTTAAATAAAGAGTTATATTTCCTGCATGCAACATGTCTCGTTTGTCTCTAGTATACAAAGTGATTGCCCTGTCAGGTGTATAAGGACACAGTACATAGTAGCAAGAAGCTTCACTGCAATCCCAGAGGTGCACGGTTCGAATCCACCAGATGCTTTGCTGGAGAAGGAGGGACAATGTTCTCCTATACCAGTCAGATCTGATCTGACAGTACACGCACAAAAAAGAATTTTAAAAAATTAATAAAATAAAATTAAAAAATAACCCGTCACTTAAGGATACAGTACACAGTCTATGGTACATGCATTTTTTTTGGTGCCGAAACCCGGGGTACATGCATTTTTTATAGTCATAATAAAAAACCTCTTCTACTGGCTTAGTACGTGCGATAAAATTTACCATATACCAGGTATGCACTGACATTCCGGCAGCAGCATTCACCCTTGTGCACCACGTGCCTCCCGCAGCTCCAGAGCATTACCCTCTGTTTAAGTGGGTTATGCCCCCAAACGCTGTACAACCAGTCTGAGTGATCGCAGCAGCAAGAGGCAGGGGAGGAACTTCAATTTGGATGTGAAACAAAAGGCTATGAAGTAACATGAAGGTAGGAAATCAGTGACCACTATTGCTCACGATCTAGTCGTGTCTCACTGGACAATCAGGATGCTCCTGAAAAACAATGGGGGCAAATGATGCCACAAGCTGTAAAAAAGACTGACTTCACGGAAAGCTTCCAGCTGACAAAGACGCAAGAGGGGTCTGTATCAGATGCGGAGGAATTTGTAACACGTGGATCGAGGACCAAACTCCAAAGCAAGTCCCTCTCAGCACCTTGCTCACTATGAAGACGTGAGAGCTGCTGGGAGGCTTAGAGACCAAGCAGCACCGGACTGTGACACGGTGTTCGCACAGTGTGTAAAATCGCTCCATGTCCAGGTCATGAAATGTCTTATGTTATGCAGTAGGGCCCCAGAGCTCCCTAGACAATGTCTCACGGACATTAAACAAGGCCTAATGACTGTATTCTTTTTCCTTTCCAGCTCTCTGTTTTCCACTGGTCTTACCCTAGATTCCTAATGCCATGAGCAAAGATTCCGAGTCATACTAGCTGTGAGATCTTAGGCAAATTCTTCCTTCTCTGTGTCTCAGTTCCTGCATCGGCGGTGCAACGGGTGCAACACTAGTGTTGTTAGAAGTGGTGGTGGCACAGCAGTTAAGCAACTGTTTATTAACTAGGAAGCTTGCAGCATAAGCCTCCCTGGCAGCTCTGCGGAAGAAAGGCCTGGCCCCTATAAAGAAACCCTGTGTGGTAGTCCCACTGTGTTACATGGGGTGGCTATGAGCAGGAATCAATTCAATGACAACACCAACAGGAAAGGATACAGAGAGCTAATCCAGATAGAGTAGAGTCTGACAGGAGAAAGGGGTCAATACGTCTTAGCTGAGCCTTGTGGAGTAGGGCATCACAGGGTGGGCTGCTAACGGAAGGGTCTGTGGTTCAAATCCACCAACCACTCCAGAAAGACCAGGCGGCCTCAGGACCTGCTGAAGGGTCACCCTCAGCTGGAATTAAGCAGACAACAGTGAGTTTGTTTGGTTTATTATTGTTACTATTACTGTGTAACCTACTCCCACAGGGGGCAGCCCTATTTGGGCTCCCAAGGCCCAGAAACCACCTTCTTCTCAACCACCAGAGACGCCCCCCTCTCCCCACAAAGTCCTCACACTGCCTGACTCCAGCCCCTTCCCCCCTAGGGTCAGAATTAGGTACGTCTGGCAACACCAAGCACAAGTCATGGTAGGAAGCCATAGAGGGCAAAGATTGGGCGAAGCGGCTGGGACCAAGCGCTGCCCAGTCAGAACCAGATGCAGGCAGCACTGGATCTAAGCAGCTCTGTACTGATGTCTCACAAAGGCTGAGCCCAGAAGAAACCTAGTGAGCATTTTAGGCACATGAGAGACTCTTCACGGCATCAGTGATGCCAAGAACGACGGGCTGGAGCTCTGGTGACCCAGTGGCAAGAAGGTGAGCTGCAATCCCAAAGGCACACGGTTTGAGGCCAACAGTTGCTCAGCAGGAGATGGATGGACAATCTCCTCCCGTGCAATGATTAACTGCCTCTGAAAACCCACCGGAGGGTCAGCTATGGGTCGGTTCCGACTCGAAGGTAAAACAACACAAAACTAAATTTTTAACTCCCTGCAACATCATCCTATTGGCCCAGACTCAAGCCTGAAAACACGCTCAAATGAGGGAGAAAGCCAGCTCAATTAGCCCAGGACACACATGCCGTCAGGCCTTCTCCACTTTACTTTTACTTCTTTACTTTCAGGGAATAACCGTCTCTCTGTGGGGTGTCTCTGCTAATAAAACTGTCTTTACTGTCAGCTTCACTCCTGTCCTCTTGGGCCGCGTGCTGTAACAAGGGCTTGGCTCATGCCAGGGTTATTTTGAGCAGGACAAACGAAGCCTAAGAAGGGCTGAACTAGGCCCAAATCAGGGGTTGTGTCCACCCTCAAACTTGCTGTTGTCTCTCACCCGGTTCCTTTCTTTGTCCACGCAAGAGAGCCCAGAACGAGGACACTGACTGCCTGCTAACATTCCCAGACTAAGCCGGATTCCTGCCAAGCAAATCAGTGGATCCTTCATTTTAAATCAGTCAGCAGAGCGTGAGGCTCGAGATCTTTTGTGAAGAGTTTCCCAAATTAGATCAAAGAACATACACTGTGAAACTAGGCCCATCATTGAAGGGACGTGGTGTGGCGTGGGGAAGGTACAATGGGTGCAGATGCTTAACAGTAAAAGCATGGCATGCTGTGCTGGCAAGAGCCTGGCTAATCAGCTTTTCATTTTGTTTTGGGCTGTTTGCCTTTGCTCTCAAGCTGATTAAATCCAAGTACCAATTCAAGAAATCAAACTGCTGACTTGGGAAAACACACGCATGCAGGCTCCTCTGAGATTCACCCACACAGTCCCCTAGAAAAGTTCCTTTGTTAGGCACAGCCAGCGTTAGCAGGGAAAATAAAGGCAGCCTCCCTGGAGAACAAAAGAACACTTAACTCAGGCCTGCTTCGCTTGCATGAGAGCCTACACTCTCTGGACTAAAAAGGAAAATGCCTGCCTGGCTCTGGGCTCACCTGTCACATTAACTGAGAACACTCCTTCAAGTGACACTTTTTGCTTTATCTCCTCCTGGTGTCTGTAAATATCCAGTGTTTGGGGAAGACTGGTCACTTGGTGAGTTATGGTTACCCATCATCTCAAAAGTCTCTTGTACCAAAGGAAACCTACAGGAAAGACGTAGGTGCAATTCCCTTTTAGCACATTGATGTGAGAGAAAAGCTTTTATGTTCTCATTTGAATACATTTCCAACAGGATGTAGCCATCCTGGGTTTCAGGAGGGGTTGTGTGGCTTGCAGCCCTGCACCCCCTTTCTTTATCCATCACTTGACTTTTATACAATATGACAAATAAAATATTTGTGGCTTTTTGCAACTGCTGGAGCTACCAGTTTTATCTCCTTTCAACGTGGAGAAACCTTATGTATGTGATTCAGAGTTCCAGAAGACCTTGGCAGTACTCACCCAGGTATGAGTCACAACAGACACTCACACACTCTCTCTCCTCCCTCCCTCTCTCTGTCTCTCTGTCTGTCTCTCTCCTCTCTGTCTGTCTGTCTGTCTCTCATTCACACACACAAATATCCCTCTGGTGCACACTCCTATCCCAAACGCATTCCTGTCCCAATGTTCTATCCCCAACTCACTCCAGGTGATGGATGGGTGCACACTCCTTCAGCAGCCAGCACAGGGGTTCCACATGCTCCTGCAGGAGGTGGCAGCCTGGGAACCTGCCGGAGGGAAGGAACAAGCTGAGGAGGGGTGGACCGGTCACCAGAACAGCTGTCTCATTAGTCATGGTTCAGAAGCTCCAGTGACGCACCATCCAAGCGTGTTGTTGATGTTGTTAGGTACCATTGAGTCCACTACAGTTCATACCCTCCGAACAATGAACCTGAACTCTGCCCTCTCCTGTGCCATCCTCACCATCTCGGACGTGCCTGAGTCCACTGTTAGTTACTGTGTCAATCCGTCTGATTGAGGGTCTTCTTTTCTTTCACTCACCCTCTTCCTTTTCAAGCACAAGGTCTTTTTCCAAGAAATGGCCCCTTCTGACAATAGACCCCGAATATGAGAGACCAAATGTCACCGTCCTTGCCTCTGAGGGCCACTTTGGTTGCACATCCTCCAAGTCACATCTGTTCTTTTGACGGTCAGTACTCAAGCATGTTGTGGTTGTGTACTATCACGTTGGAATTGACCCACAGATGACCTTCCAGTGGGTTTTTAGAGGCAATAAATCACACAGGAGGAGACTGGCCATCTTTCTCCTATGGAGCAGCCGGTGGATTTGAATTACATACTTTTGTGTTGGCAGTGCAATAGGCAATCTCCTCCTGGACGATTTGCAGCCTCTGAAAACCCACTGAAGAGTCACCTATGGTTGGTCTGACTTGATGGCACACAACAACAACAACAACAAGCCGCCAGCGCTCCTCTGGAACCGAAGCGTTAGCTCCAAACTCAAGCACAAGTCTTCTGGAAATAGTCATTGTTGATCACTCCTACCTCCAGCAGGCCCTCCCTGGAACCCACTTCTGTACTCCCGGAAGCAGTGACCCTGACTGGCCCTGGAACCTGTGTTAGCATCATATAGGAACTTGCTGAAATGCAAATTCTGGCACTGCAGAGCAAATCTATAAACTCAAACTCTAGAGCAAGACTCAGCAATTCATGCTTTAACTCTCCGGGTAACTCCGGTTCAGGTTCAAGTTGAAGAAGAATTACGGCTCCAGGGTAAATGATTTTTATTATTAATTTTAATGAAAGTTTACAGAGACTTAGGGTCTCCAGTCATTCATTGTTGCACTTTTCTCCCTGCACACCTCCTCCCCCTAATTCACTCTTCTCCTTGATAAATAAGACTCTTTCATTGTTATGCAATCCCTCCCCCCAAGTCCACTGCACTGTGCGGCTTTCATTCTGGACTCCTGACATGCCAATAATACCTAAACATATATCCCTTTTAAACAGTTTTCTCCCTCATCTGTTGGAATAGAGTATACATCATTTTCTCCTTCTTCTCTGTCTTTCCTCAACTCCAATGTCAGTCCTGTTTTACAATAGTGGCCCTATACAAAATTTGTCCTTTTGTGACTGAGATCTTTCACTCAGCATAACTTCCTCTAGGAAGTCATCCACTTACCATAATATTTCATGAGTTCCTTGTTTTTCAATGCAGTATAGTATTCCATTGTGTGAATATACCAGAGCTTCTCTATCTATTCATTTGTTGATGGGCACTTGGGTTGTTTCCAGCTCTTTGCTATTGCGAACAAAATCACAATAAACATGGGTGTGTCCAGGGTAATTTTAATGGCTGGGTGCCCTCTCCTTCACCTTAACCCTCTCACCCCTCAGCCTTCTAACTAACTAAGCATAGAGGTGGGGAAAGGGAATATGTATGAGGTTCACTCCTGGGAAGGGCTGTTGGTGTTGTGGTTAAATCAGCCACAAAGCCTGCCTTTGAAAAGTCTAAAAGGAAACCACACAACAGCCAAATAATTAGGACAGCTAGCTATCTAAATGACTAGGGATGATAGAAGAATTGATGCCTTTGAGCTGTGGTGCTGAGTATTAAATATACCATGGACTGCTAGGAAAACAAACAAGTTTGTCCTAGAGAGGATGAGACCAGGCTGCTCCTTGGAGGCAAGGATTCTGAGGCTTCGTCTGACATACTTGGGGCATGTTGCAAGGAGGGACCAGTCCTTGGAAAGGAATATCATGCTTGGGAGGGTGGAGGGACAGTGCAAGAGAGGAAGACCCTTGATGACATGGATTGACTCAATGACTAGGATAATGGGGGTAGGCGTGCCAGAGACAATAAGACTGGCACAGGATAGAGCAGGTTTCAGGGCTGTTGTACATAGAGTCGCCACGAGTCACAGGCAACTTGATTGCACATAACAATAACAATCTAAAAAACCCTTAAAATCAGAAAGTCTCTAAAATCTATGGCACATTTTGATCCCTCTTTATCTTTGTTATTTCCTATAGTCTTCAATTTCAAATTATATTATCATTTGCTTAATATTTTCTTTAAATCAGCTAATTGACAAACATGCATTTATTTTTTTGAACACATTTATTTTTAAAAGAAAAACTTGTACCCTAACTTAAGTGGAAAGCTGCTACTATTTGACACAATGTGAAAACCTAAAAACAAAAAATAAAAGCAAACTGTCATTGTCTTTAAATGTGACGAGTCCTGCTGAGGGCTCTTGATCAGAAAGGAAGCTTGGCAAGTGTTAGAGTGGTGTTAAAGTCACACTAACACCCAACTCAGACTTCCTCCTTTTTTTTTTTCTACAAAAGGCAAGGTATGTTTATTTAGATTAAGTCATCCAGTTGCCTGATTCAATGTGACTCAAGGCCTCAAAGAAACTATCTTTTCCTTTACTCTGTCTCCCAAGGTTTGAGCCTAGAGTGGCAGGAATGCTTCTTAGGGCCTGTTCACAGGTTTACAAGTTTCTCATTGAGGGCAATCTGTGACTGTGTGAGATTAGCCAAGTAGGTCACCATCAGCAGGTCGTTGATATTGCTGTTAAGCATGGTCTCAAAGTCATCAGGAACAATTTTAGGTACTTGGTTGACCAGACTCATCAAGAAGCGGCCCACAGTATTGTCAGCTGACACTTTTCCAGATAGCACATCTTCTGCATACTGCAATACTGTGCTCAGGGCATCCTGGATGCGGGCTGATGCTCCTCCAACCTGCTGCAAGTCATTTGAGAGTCCAATCACCCGGTTGGGACTAAAACAGGTCTTCATAATGAGGTCAACTCCAATGCGTTCGGTGTCATAATATGCGTATCTCACTGTCAAAGGTGTGAACATCACTCCCATGGTCCTTCCAGGGACACCCATTAAAGTGCTGGCATAGGCCTTGATGCTCATGCGGCCATTCTGGAGGCTGGTGTCCACAGTGAGGTGAATGGGGTTGGGGGCCTCTCGGCTATAGTACTCATGAATCAGTACAGAATGTTCTGTGATGTCGTGGCCTGTAGCGTACCAGCCTAGGATGAGTTCATTTGGAGAGACTTTCTTGTGTAACTCATACATGTTCTTAGCAAATTCCATGTCAACAGCCACCTCATCTTCAGACTCATTGTGGGGCACTGAAAAGCAATTTGTAACTTCCACTGAGTGCTTGTCGACAGTTCCCAGCAAAGTCCCGATAACTCGGGCAACGCCCTCATTGCGTCGCTCATAGCTGTCCACGATGGAGGCTACCTCCTTGCTTTAATCAGACAGAAAATTGAGAAAGGAGTCAGTGATACTGAACTACTCTCCGATTTGTTAAACCTCCTACAGCTCATCTCATTGTGGCCTAGGTCTTATTGTTTGGAAAATCCTGAATCACAAATTCTGGTAGTCTGGGTGGTGTTGGGCTAGGACAGGGGTCAGTAAACCATGTTCACAGTTGCCTATTCTGTGTGAGAGCATTTATATTTTCAAGTGATTGAAAACCAAATTAAAAAGAAATACTATTGCATGACATGTAAGCATTATATAGAATTTAAATGTCACTGTCTGTAAGGACAGCTTCATTGGAACGCTCAAACTTAAAGTCACTGCTGTGGAGTCAGAACTGACTCATAGCTGATCCCTCCAGTGGGTTTCTTGCAGCTTTAAATCTCACTGGAGAAGAAGGTGCATCTTTCTCCCTGAGAGAGGCTGGTGGACGCCAACCCACAAAGAGACACTGTCTTTGGGTTCGTCCCACTCCCTGCTGACGAGGCCCTCAGAGCACAGCCACGCTCATTTGTTTATCCATTATTATGGCTCTCTTCAAGCTTCAGAGGTAGAACTGAGCAGTGACAGAGCTTACGGTCTACAAAATGCCAAATATTTACCACTTTGGGCATATGCTTGGTTATTAACGGAATGACTAGAGGTTTGACTCCACCTAGAGAGATACCTGATAATCCAATTCTGAAAAATCAGCCACTGAGAAAACCCCATGGAGCACGGCTTAACAAGGACAATATAGGGTCGCCTATGAGTTGGAGCCATTTCAATGGCAATCACCCCACTTCTGATCTAAGCCATGATATCTTCATTTGCTTTGTATGCATCAGAAGGTTTGGCGTTAAGGAAGAGTCTTCAAAGACTCAATTCAATGCCTTTGGATGGTAGAATTTGAGAAAATAATGAATAAATGGACTGCCAAAAAAAAATATACAAATCTGTCTGGAAGGAAATGCAACCAGGCACTTCTGGCAGGGTGCGTCCACAGCCTGGCAGGGTGCCCTTTAAGAGGCAAGGATGGTGAAACTTCTCTCATGTATTTTGGACATGTTGTCAGGATGGGCCAGTCCTTGGGGACAGACAGCATGCTGGGAAAGGTCAGTGAGAGAGAGAGGAAGACTCTCAAGGAAATGCACTGACCCAGGGACCACAACAATGGGCTCAAACAGGGTGGCTGTGAGGATGTGAGCAAGTTTCAGATCTGTTGTTGATAGCATCCCCCTGTGAGTCTTGGTTGAAGGCTCATGATAACACAACCACTTTCTAGAAATCCTTTTCTTTTGTTGGAGGAGGGGAAGTTCTTGACCTTGACCATGAGTGTTTCCAATGGCTCTGATGAGTGGTCCACAGAGAGCTGTGCAGTTCACTCAAAGGCTGCTCCCTCTGTCAGTTCTAATTCACCGGTAGCTTCTCCGGAGAAAGATGGACAATCTCCTTCCATGTGACATTCAGTCTTGGAAATCCAGGAGAGGATCAGTCAGGAGTCTGTTGCCACTTGGCAATGTGTTGGGTTTTGTTTTCCAGAGAAAATTCTAGAAACGCAGTGAAGCTCCGTGCATTCACATTTGCCGCCACCACTTTTCCTGTGTGACCACAGCTGTGAGGCTTGTGAGGGTTAATACGCATAAAGCCCTTTGCACGGGCCTTGCAGATCAGCTGTGCTCAACAAATGTTAGCTCTTCCATTTCTTGTATGCTATTGCCGAGGCTTTGGAGGTTCTGGTTAATAGTCTCTCCGTAAGCCAGTGTCATTAAGTAGTTACTAGAAGAATTATCTCTGAATTTCAATCCTCCTCCAGTCTCCTGACACCAGGGCAGTATCTTCTTCCTTCACACCGGGGATGCAGGAGCAAGGACATTCACACCTCTGAGCATCTGCTGTGTACACGTGTCACTCCCCTTAATCTTTGTAAATGTCCTTCAGTGTAGTGGCTCCCTTCTACCGCTGTGAGCTAAACATAAATACCTGAAGGGGACACTGGAAAGCTCTGTCACGCTCCTAGGGGTCCTGACCTCTAGTTCAATCTGATGTGAACTTGCTATTTGCCTTTGGACAAGAACTGACCTGCTCCGGGCTTCTGTTTCTTTCTGTAAACTATCACTTAGATGACACGAGCTGGTTTGCAGGATTTTTGCAGGGGGGATGAACTGCAATCAGATAGTTCTTGCTCTGTTTTGAGCACTTGGAGGCCGTGTCTTCTCATTCCCAATGACCCCCGACTGACAGGCTATATGGTTTGAGTCACTTACCCACAGAACACACCTTCCGGCTCATCGCTGGACCGGAAGTGCAGGGATAAGCAATGCAGGGACCTGGAACAGACAGCACCTGAGTTAACCCCTTTTAGCCACAGCCTCTGGAGGTCCCCAGGAGATAGCCAGCCCTCTCTGTGAAGCATCGTATCTGACATGGGCTTTAAGGCCTCCATTCCACCTTCTCACACCCATCACACCCCAGTACAACCTGCAGGGACTCTTTGTCCTGGTGGACCAGGCCCTTTGCCTACCTCAGCTCCACCTTCTGAACACGTGGGCACAAGCTGAAGATTTTGGCCAGGATCAGGGGGCTTCTTGAGGACAGTGCAGTCTCACTCAGCCTGAGAAAGCAATGGGAAGGGTTTTACAGCAGCGAGTCATACCCAAGTGAGGCCAGGAGGTAAGGGACTGGGCAGACTGGAGGGCACAGGGAAGGGAGGGTGACAGGGTCAGCAGAGCTAGGAGAAGAATGCAGGGACCCAAGAGGGAGAGAGGGATATGGGATAGCAGATCTAGCATCCAGCCTTTGTTCTGTTTACTGGCTGTGTGACCCCGGATACCATCAAAGCCTCTCTGAGGATATATAACTAGGTATTTCTGTCATCACAGGAGACTAGAGCGAGGGCTACATGGTGGAGGGGACCTGGGGGAGGGTTTGTAAAACAATGAAAGAATCTTTTCTTTTACTTTTCCATAATTTTTGGACTCATGTACTTATAACTTGTTAGTCAAATTTGTGTCTTCTAGGTTGCAACACCCCCATGATACATCTTCAAGGATATGAACATGTACGGCCAAGCACAATCAATAAGAGTGCATCTAAATTCCAAAATCAATCTCCATAACAGTCTATGTGTTTCCTACTGCCAAAGGGGCCCTTTAGAGTAGTGAGAGAAGATCTTCACCCTGAAACCCACAGCGTCCCTTTTCAGCAGGAAGTAGCTAAGAGAATACGCCATCCCCTTTTCCTTATGACTCAGGGTGAAGTCTCTCTCAGGGAGGAATGATAGGGAATGGCAAAGGATACACTGACAAAGAAGATTAATCAGAACTGGCTTTGACAAGCACTGTGGCATTTGGACAAGAACAAACTGGGAGGAGGGTAGAGAGAATAGTGCAACAATGAATGAATGGAAACCCAAAATCTCTGTAAATGTTTATGAAAATTAATAAAATATAGAAAAAAAAACAAAAAACAAAAACAAAGCCTCTCTGAGACCCAGTGGCCTTATGAGAAACGGGATGAATTACAGAATACTGTCCTCTCACGGCGCTGTGAGGAGTGAAAGATATCAAGCTTATGAACCGCTCAGCAGTATGCCCATGTTTGCACAACTTATATTCGCTGCTGTGGAATCAGCTGACGCTCCAGCAGGTTTTCAGAGGCTACAGATCACACGGGAGGAGTCAGCCCATTGTTCTTCTGCATAAATATTTGTGTTTTTAATCTGTAAATACAGATCTAACGGGCGAGGAGAACGTCAGAGTGCCTGGCTTCTGTTCACCTGACGCCGAGAGCATGCACCCACATCAGTCAGGACAACTCAACTGCCTCGACCACACTGTCAGATGTCCTCTGGGGGAGGGAGGTTGGGGTGGGTCATTCCTTATTGGGAACCACTCTCAGACAAAGTGACCTCAATTCCAATGCCTACATCACGCCAAATCTACTCACTTGCCTATTCCCTGTGACTGCTACATGCCAGCACACATATGTCACACTCGTGCTTAACACACACACACAGACATCCCACACAGGATTCCCTGTCATCGATGTCTCTCATTCTGGCTGTAAACAGCCTTCTCCCCATGCTCACTTCCACTCTTGCCTCTCAACCTCTCCTTCCCTTCATTCAGCAGTGAGGTCAACCTTTTGAAAACAAAAGTCATTTTCCTACCCTTCAGGTTCTCTTGAATGAAAACTCAAACTACTCCCTGTACGAGGCCTTGGGGGACCCAATCTAAAATTCCATTGAAAATTCCCTGCCTTCACATTCCTGTCCTCCTAGTGGTTCTGCAAATCCATTAAACTCAGCCTCTGGGCTTCATTCATGCTGTTCCCCCAGCCTTGAATGCTGTTCCCTACTCATCACAGAGACCCACTCCTTCTCCTTCAGAAGACCTCAGGGTCTCTTCTTAGAGGTACTCCCTGACCACTCCTGCCATTGTCTAAATCATGCCCACCTCAGACCCTCACTACATCACTTGAGTTAGAAGTGGGATTTGAACCCATGCCTCCACTGAAGACCAGAACTCTCAAGTGAAACTTGAGTCTGGTACCTCAGAACCAACCACAACCCTTGAAAAAAAA